TTGCAGGGTAAGAACACAGTGCAGCCGAAAAACTAACAACGCCTTTTTTTTTTTTCCACTGGCAGGGCCTAACTCGCACTTTAGCCAAAAACTCTGTAGTAAAACTATTATTTTCCTTTGTCTTTAGTCCCTATTACTTTGTCTTTAGTCCCTGTTCATTTATCTTTAGTCCCTCTTCATTTGTCTTTAGTCCCTATTTTTTTTTTTCTTTTTTCTTTACTCCCCTGTTCATGGTACCATTCTGCAGGGCGTTTACCCACCAACCCCAGAGTTTCCCAGAGTTTTCTTGAGTGTGAGCAGCAGGAAATATTAGATAGAAGGATCTAGATTGTTGAGATAAACAGAGAAAATAAAGGATAGCCTCGAGAGGGCCTGGAACCTATTCCAAGGAGCCCAACTGTCTCTGCCCCAGGGTATTTATAGAGATGCCAAGTGGGTGGAGCAAAAGACCTCCCCCGCCCCCAGCACAGCCAAGTGCAGACCAACTCAGACACCTGCACTCAGGCCCATGGTCCAATCCTCCTCTCTATGAGGACCTGATGAGTAAAGCCATGAGGAACCTGAAAACGGGCTCCCACATGAACCACCAATGTGAATGCTGGAAACCAAACTCAGGTCCTCTGAAAGTGCTTTTAGCTTCTGAGCCATTTCTCCAGCTACCCTAATAAGCTATTTTCGCTTCTCTTTTTGAATTGTAAGTGGGTTAGTACACAAAAAGTAAGATTATAGAGAATTTAACATAAAAAGTATCAAATTGTGAAAATAACATCTTTCAAAGAGCCTATGCTAATAAATACATACCAAAGTCAGACTATAAATAAAACTAATGATAATTTTAAAATGTCAAAATAGTAAAGACAAGTGCTAGTCAAGTACCCATCCTTGAGTTATTTGTTACTGGTCTACAGTCACAAAGGAAACTCAGACCAAAATGTACATGAGTGCATGCACTAGTTCCTTCCTTGAAAATCTGGTGATGAATATGAAGTAACCAAACAAAAGCAGTGTGCTTTGCATTCTGCTCAGGACATTGACATACTCTACTGGAACACATTCTTGAAGAGCAATGTAGGCAGATTTTTCTGTTCCTCCTGCCAGCTCCCAAATTATGACATGGAGACTTCTTATTAATTAAGAAAGCTCAGCTGATAGCTTAGGCTTGTTTCTAACTAGCTCTTATAACTTTAGTGAAGTCATTTCTGTTAATTTACTTTCTGTCTCATGGCTTTATTTCCTTTACTCTGTACGGCCCATGCTGCTTTCCTTTTTCCTTTCTCTGGCTGGCAACTCTGAATCTCAGCCCTTCTTCTTCCCAGCATCCTCTCTGCCCTGAAAGTCCTGCTTAGCTATTGGCCATTCAGCTTTTTATTAAACCAATAAAAACTGACAAATCTTCACAGTGTACAAGAAGATTATTCCACAACATTTATCCCTTTTGTCTAAATAAAAAGGAAAGATTTAACTCTAACATAATAAAACTATAAACAATAAGAACAATTAATTAGATTACAATGTCCAGTCCATTTGTATTTGGCATATTTGGAGAAAATACTCCATTATTTATTCTATCTTGATGAATCCAAAGCTCTGTGCCTAATTTACCTTCTATCATAACTAAGGAAAACTGCAACTATAAGTACCTAGTCTTCAACTCCTTAAAAAACCCAAGAAGGATAAACTATTGCTTGAGTAAACAGGAAGTGCAGAGCAAACATCTTCAAAACTAAAACAAATGACAGAGACCTCTGGCTGCCTGGACAGTCACTCAAGGTTCCTCCGTAACGTTGTAGCATCCATCTTCAGCCTACAGGCCTAGAATATCTGACACACTTTTCTGTGAAGCAGGAATTTCTGAAGGACTGTCCTACCCGGTTTTAGCAAAGTTCAGTAGTCACTTTTCTTTGTGTCCTGCTGGTCCAATTTGGTCAGAATACTGCCAGCAGTTGAGGCAAGGGCAGTTTATTGCCCAAATAGCTAGCTTTTGCCGTAAAGAAAACAAACTCCATATGAAGATTCTTCAATGCCTGTCATCCTTTTTTGAAGTAGATTAGTGCTGCCAGGAGCAGACATGTCTCACTGGCATGAAAAGCCTTATGCTATTAAAACATTTTAAATGCCATATTCTGTAGGTCTTTGAAGTATTTGAAGATCACTTACCTATCTGAAATACGTCTCTGTATAACCTTGAAAACATACCTGACTATATGTTTAGTAGTTGTAGATGACTATTAACTTGTATTTATTATTCTAAATAACTTTTAAAGACTAAAACTTTACATAACCTTTTTAAATGAGCTGCATAGGTACAATACCTTAAACAAGAGTAGAAACATATATACAGTATAACAAAAATAACCTTAAATTTGTATCAATATACAAAAATTCATGCCAATGTAAAATATTTGAGACCAGTGATTGTTTAAAAGTAGACTCAACAATCCACCCTTTTATCTCATCGTTTTTATACTGTATCACCCTCTGTTCCTTCACAGAGAGATCCTTGAATCTAACTCCTTTGTTTAGTTTTTTCCTGACCATGACTGATAACTTGTAACAATCCTCCCCTAGAATGATGACAAACATCTGTAATCTTTCAAATGACCAAAAGCCATCCACCCCATCTATTGGGAATGTGGGTGTCATGTTCTGTAGACTGCTTCATGTTGTCTAAGGGCACTGGCATCTTTAGGAGATCCTGAGAAAATTGAGATAATGGTCAAGTCCTGGGAGAGGTCACTGTATCATTTGTTGTCCAGTTTCTGTGTGATGGAAAAGTGTAAAGCTTATCTGTAGTCCTGGCTAGAATAGTCTGTGAGGCTAGACCATCTCAACCAGCAGCCTTGAAGCTCTTCTGGATGCAGAACTCTGAGGAAACTGCAACAGAGGCACTCTGAGAGGCTGGATCACCTGGGCCACCTGTTTTCATTGGTGTCTGGTCCCCTTGCTCTGAAAACACATAAACTTTTAAAGGTAACATACATATCTGCATTAACACGTGTATGGAATGTGCAGTGTGCACCAGTCAGTTAAAGATGATTTTTTTTGTTTTATGTTTGAGCAGGTAAAAGGCATCTGTTAACTTTATAAGTCTGTTTGAACTGTATAATTAAATTTCAATATAAATCTCTATCCATCCCTTATGAAAGAATAGCAGGCAATAATAAGTCATGAGGATTCTGTAGCCAACAAGATTTATCATGTCTCATCTCATCTCAGAGCTGTTCCTATGTCAAGGGATCAGCTTACACATCACCTGTCCTATAGTCTTTTTTGGCTTCCTCCCCCATGAGTATCCCCCAAGATACTCAGGAGGTCTCCCCTGGTCATATCTGATCTTTATTAATCTAGAAGGAATCCACAACCTATTGTTTCCCGTGGAAACAAAAGCATAACCTCTCCTCCAACATACCACATTGTCTGACTTCCATTTTGAAGTTAAGACATTTTTAAAATAATGTAGGTTGGTTTAATTCAACAGTTTCCATAATCCAGTTTTTCTCAGCAGCTATTATTTTTTGTACATTAGCCTTAAAAAAAATTCAAAGTTAACAAGATACCATATAGATCCAGACTCCCTCTGTATTTTCCATCCTTATGTGGCTTAATTTTTTTTACTCTCTCTTTGAAGTCTACTATTTTTAAACTAATTTTTCTTTGACTGTCTATACCCATTTGAGCAAAACCTTAAACCCACCATATGGCTTAGCTCTTGGCACACTGGCAGCTCAATTACACAGGCAGCTACCAGGAGACATGTCTCTGTATCATGGTCAGCATGAGAATCACAAGACTAGGAAACCAAGCTTGGTTTGGCTTTTGTGTGTGTGTGTGTTTAGAACCTATTTCTAAGCTTTCTCTGGTCTTATGTGGATATACAGGCTGGATGTTGGGTGACATTTGTAGATGGACTTTTCTTTGGGGTACCAACTTACACACACACAAAATGACACAGAGACTTCATATTAATTATGAAAGCTCAGCTGGTAGCTTAGGCTTGTTTCTAACTAGCTCTTTTAACTTAAATTAACCCATTTCTGTTAATTTGCTTTCTGCCTTGTGGCTTTATTTCCTCTACTCTGTACCACCCATGCTGCTTTCCTTCTTTCTCCGTCTCTAGCTGGTGGCTCTCTGCATCTCAGCCCTTCTTCTTCCCAGCATCCTCTCTGCCCCCAAAATCCTGCCTAGCTGTTGGCCATTCAGCTTTTTATTAAACCAATCAAAGTGACAAATCTTCACAGTGTACAAAAAGATTGTTCTACAACAGAGTAAGCTAAAGACTATATTCTCTGCTTATAGCAAAATCGAGGTTAATAGGACAGCACTCACTGTTCTGCTCACCTGGAGATCTCATTTCTAACTCAAATAACTTTAGTTAAAGGGAGTAAAAACTATTTTTCCAAACTTATGGGATATGATAAAAATATATGCATAGCTATATGTATATGTGTATAAAGGTATGTATTTTAAATTAAAAAACTTTTAAGCTACAAACTTCCTGTAAACCAGAAGCTTAGATCTCAGTTGCTGTACATTATTCCTGTTTTCATTCTCTTCTTGTTTGCCCTCCTGCAACCTCTATGTGATGATACAAACAGAACAGCCCCCAGAGGCTTATTTGAGTACTTGGTCTCCAGTTGGTAGAACTCTTTGGGAAGGATTAGGAGGAAGAGGTATGTTAACTGGGGACAGGTTTTAAGGTTTCAAAAGATTCACACCATTCCCAGTGTGCTCTCTCTGCCTCATCATTGTGGGTGAGGATGTGAGCTCTCAGCTGTTCCTGCCACCATGCCTTTGCTCTGCCCTCATGGACTCTAACTCTCTGAAACTGTAAGCCAAATTAAGTGCTATTTTTATAAGTTTGCCTTGGTCATGATGTTTTTTCACAATAATAGAAAAGTAACTAAGATACTCTAAATTGCTTTTGTTCTGATTTTGTTTTGAAATTCCACTTCAGTTGAATATTTTAATCACAGGGATTTTTTGTGTCTTTGATTTTAAAGATTTGAAGATGGAATGTCTCCAGGAGAGTCAAGAGTTAAATTTGCAAAAATTAAGGACTTCAGAATTCATACTTAATAAAGCTAAACAAAAAATGAGAGAACTTACAATTAACATCAGGATGAAAGAAGATCTGATCAAAGAGTTAATAAAAACAGGTAATAGTGTCTTGTACTTGGGTGAGAAAGAAAAGCCCCTGAGACTGCATGTGATGTGGTGACATGCAGCTCCCAGCTGTCCTCTGCAACTTGGGTTTGTCTTAGAACCAACGTGTGCAGAAGTTTATGAGGTTGGGGGACCAGTCTCCAGGCAGAGAAGGGCTTGAAAGGAAATCCACAGTGTCAGCATGTACTAGACTTTTTTATTTGAGGGGGTTAGGAAAAGACACTCACACATTCTTGATGGTTTCCTTCAGACCTTTTCTTTATTCTTCTTTTGTGTTCTCTATTCTTTATTTTCCTGGTGATTTTTTTCTCTCTCATTCTTGATGTTTTCCTTATAACTCTCATTCTTGATGTTTTTCTTCTAGCCCATTTTAACTCTCTCTAGCTCCATCTCTATTCTTTCCCTTACAGCTTATACACCCCAGCAAAATCTTTCAGGAAATTTAAAAATTACAGTGTGGTTACATTCTGTTTCTCAAGTGAATGATTACAGTGAATACAAAACAGCATGTTTTCCATATCCCTTACATGATTAAACATTTACATATTACAGGTGAAAAATAAAATTCCCAAGAACCCATGTACATTAAGACCCAAGCAACTTGTTATAGATTAACAGAACTTGAGCAAATAGAAAGTATTTTTTCCACAGCCAACTATTTTGTTGGCAGGGTGCATATTGCAGTTACAAAGAAGGGGCCAATTACTTGATTACTTATCTTGGAAGATAATCTTATAAGGAATCTTAAAGGAATCACAAACCTAAACTTTTATATGAAAAAGAATCAGTCAGCTCTACTTTAAATCTTTGGGGTGCATACCCACTCATCAGTAGTTAGTTGCTTATATCAGGAGATTGAGGGCAGAAATGAGTACAAGGAATTAATCATCACCTTTGGTCATCAACCAATCCTAGCAAGAATAGTGTGTCAGCTAGTAATAATTGAGCTGCTTTGTTCTTGACCTTAAAATGTTCTGCATTCAACTACGTGCCTTTCTAAAACTTTAGATTGTCTTCTTGGGTTTTTCACCTCAACGCTATTTAACAAAAACATCTCAGTCTAACTTTAAGTTATTTCCAAAGCTTTGTTTCAGCTATGATGCACTTCAACACCTGTGAACACATCTCCCAACATTAAGGTTAAAAGAATTTAAGCTAGTTAGACTAACTGGGACTCAATTGTTTTCTTAATCATTAACCTAAGCCACAACAGTCTATACAGCTCCTCAATAGAAACTCATGTGTTGTAGCTGTGTAACACTTCCTTGTTTATATTTTAAATAATCAAAACTCTATTCAAACTAACATTATTATTATTATTATCATTATCATTTAGACAGTACAGCTTAGGAAGAAATCATCTTCATAATAATGCACAGGTAAAAAATGCCCAGTAGAAAGGTATATTTCCATGAGATAAACACACTATATTACAGGCAGTGGGGGTCTCCCACACCCATTCACACCATGCCAGATACCAGAGAAAGATAACAGCAGTAAACATGTAAAGGCACAGCAGAAGCAAAAGACATGCTGGGGTCTGTGGTCTGAGGGCCTTGCCTCTCCAGGATTCACCCATCGTGGAGTTTCCTCCTGGTGGGCTGACACCTTGAACTTCAGTTGCCACCTGCTGCTCCTCTGATACACCACTGGCAGCTGGGACTCACCTTTCAATTGTTCTTGCTACTGTCAGCTCTGTGTTGGATGAAACTCTATGGCACTTAAATGTATGGACCTAAAAGGAACATAGTTATCTTACTTTTCTTTTCTTCCTGTAGAGCAGGGGATTGAACCCAGGTGAGCCTCACCTCTGTTCTGTAGTCCTAGCATTTTAGAGTTTGAGGAGGAGGATTTCTGTGAGTTCAAGGCCAATCTGGGCTAGGTAGTGAATTCCAGACCAGCCTGGGCTACAGAGTGACATTCCCTCTAAAATAAAAACAACAGTAATAACAAAACCAAAGCAAAGTAGCTTAGGTATTTGCATGCACTGAGTAACTGTCAAATAAGTATCCCCTAACAATGATTATTTTTAATTATTAGTCACCATTGACTTAGATAGTTCACTTTTTTTCTGTATTGGGGGTTGAACCTAGTGCTTTGAGCATACTACACAAGTACTCTACCAGTGAGCTATATCCCCAGCCTGGTAGTTTATTGTTAACATTAAATATTGTACTTTGGATATAGGTAATTTTTATTTCTCTGAAAATGTAAATATTTGTTCTTAAGAGTTATTTTCTTTGGTGAGCCAAGCTTTTAACTCTTGTCTTACATTTGACTTTTGTCAGGTTGGGGTGGATACCATGTTCATCATCAGGCAGATTAGTTTTGCATTAAAGAAGAGAAACTCAAGCTCTTTGGTCTTTTTCTTCCCAGTAGTCTAAATGATTGGCCCTGACTACTTTGAACTTCAATAAAGAATTGAAGGTGTAAAAGACACCAGCATTTATTCCCAATTCTGATGTAAAACAACTCTGGTCTCATTTAAGGGAACTGGAGAAAAACATTCCTTTGGGTGGGAGTTGGGTAAAGAGCTGTGTGTGCCTTTGGTAGCCAGAAAACAACCATGGGTGTTCTTCAGGCACTGTCTGCCTATTTTTTAAGAGTCTCTCACTGGCTGGAACATGCTAAGTAGAGTAGGCTAGCACAAGTGTGTGCCACTACACCGGCTTTTATTACATGGCCAGCACTTTTATCAACTACATCAATTATGCTGAGTCTCAAATCTGCTCCAGCAAGAACATGGCTTCCCCATTTCCATGTTCTTCCTTGCCAGCTGTTGTCTAGCTATCGGTCCTTCCTTCTGCTTTGCAAAGTCTATTTCCTGCCTCATTCTTAACGATTCTCATGCTCTGTGTCACCCTCACTCCAGTGATCACAGCTGTGTCAGGTTTGACTGTTCCCTCATGATGTGCAGTCAGACACCCCCTTGGGATGTAGAGAGCTGATGGAGGTGAATGGCTCCCATCCTCACAGTTTCAGGGTAGTGCCTCTGTGAGATGTGACAGTTATTACCTCCCAGAGTAAACGGTCTTTCAGAGAGGGCCTCACTCACCCTGGAGCTCCCAGGGCACACATGCTTTTATAGCTGTGTACACCTACGAGTGACTTAAAGTAGAAGGCATCCAAGCTTATATTTAGGCAGTCTTCACTCATTAGAGCCAAAGGTGGTTGTGGGGCTTCCCTAAAGATCTTTAGAGATGGTGATTGGGAAAATGAATAGTGCATGCTTATTTTTAGTACTCTCAGTGAAGACTTCTCCCAAACAACACCCATGCCAGTCATTAGTAATGACAGGGACATGGATACTGTATCTCATCTATTCCAATATACTTTTTATGCCTTAGTGTCTTATGAAATCAGTGTGTGTCTCTTCATTTTGAGCAAGGTCTCATTATGGAGACTCATAGAAATCTACCTATCTCTGCCTCCCCAGTTGTTTTAGTTACTTTTCTATTGCTGTGAAGAGACACCATGACTAAGGCAACTTAGAAGAAAGTGTTTAATGTGGGCTTATAGTTTCAGATGGTGAGTCCATGACTATCATGGCAGGGAGCATAGCAGCTGTTAGTCTTGCATAGTGCTGAAGTAGTAGCTGAGAACTCACACCTCAATTCACAAGCACAAGGCACAGAGAACTCTCTTGCAGATGGGGAATAGTGAGGCTTAAGAAAGCTCAAAACCCATCCTCAGTGACACACCTCTGAATCCTTTCCATTTTCACCAACTGCAAACCAAACATTCAAATACTTGAGCCTGTGGGAGCCATTCATTCAAACCTCCCCACTACAAGGAATAAGGTGTGCGTCCTCATACCACCACAGCGGTGCAGGGAGTAAAGGTGTGCACCCTCACACCACCACAGCGGTGCAGGCAGTAAAGGTGTGCATCCTCACACCACCACAGCGGTGCAGGCAGTAAAGGTGTGCGTCCTCACACCACCACAACGGTGCAGGGAGTAAAGGTGTGCACCCTCACACCACCACAGCAGTACAGGCAGTAAAGGTGTGCGTCCTCACACCACCACAGTGGTGCAGGCAGTAAAGGTGTGCGTCCTCACACCACCACAGCGGTGCAGGCAGTAAAGGTGTGCACCCTCACACCACCACAGCGGTGCAGGGAGTAAAGGTGTGCACACAACGGTGCAGGCAGTAAAGGTGTGCGTCCTCACACCACCACAGCGGTGCAGGCAGTAAAGGTGTGCGTCCTCACACCACCACAGCGGTGCAGGCAGTAAAGGTGTGCACCCTCACACCACCACAGCGGTACAGGCAGTAAAGGTGTGCACCCTCACACCACCACAGCGGTGCAGGCAGTAAAGGTGTGCGTCCTCACACCACCACAGTGGTGCAGGCAGTAAAGGTGTGCGTCCTCACACCACCACAGCGGTACAGGCAGTAAAGGTGTGCGTCCTCACACCACCACAGCGGTGCAGGCAGTAAAGGTGTGCGTCCTCACACCACCACAGCAGTGCAGACAGTAAAGGTGTGCACCCTCACACCACCACAGCAGTACAGGCAGTAAAGGTGTGCACTCTCACACCACCACAGCGGTGCAGACAGTAAAGGTGTGCACTCTCACACCACCACAGCGGTGCAGACAGTAAAGGTGTGCACCCTCACACCACCACAGCGGTGCAGGCAGTAAAGGTGTGCACCCTCACACCACCACAGCGGTGCAGGCAGTAAAGGTGTGCGTCCTCACACCACCACATCGGTGCAGGGAGTAAAGGTGTGCGTCCTCATGCTCGGCCAGTGTGTCATAAATCCATATCAGCTCAGCATGTTTTCATGACAAAATTGGCCCTATGACTTTTTTTGATTAGTAGTTCATAAAATACTGGTCTTTTAATAATTGATTAATTGATGACCAATCTAAGTTTTGCTAAAATATGCATTAGGTGTTTCTAGTTTCTGCCAGCCCTCTAGCTGTATATATTATTGTTATATATTTGTAGAATTTTAGAGTGAGAAGATATTTCACTGTGCATTTAAGTTAAGAACTTCATTTTATTAAAAAAATTACAAGTTTTAAAGTCTGTTACATTGTTTCTGCTAATTTAAGCAACAGCTGGGATTTTTTTTTTCTTCAAGGCAGGGTTTGTTTTTATAACAGCCTTAGTTGTCCTGGAGCTTGCTCTGTAGCCTAGGCTGGCCTCAAACTCAGAGATCTGCCTGCCTCTGCCTCCTGAGTGCTAGGATTGAAGGCATTTGCGACCCTGCCTGGCATAATAAAGTTTCTTAAGAAAAATATTTCATAGTAATTGTTTTTATATTAAGAAGACATCATGGATAGCAAAAGCTCAAGTATCCTACATAAGAGGACAAGTCCCTCCTAGTAGTTTTTATTTTTTTAATGTCTGTGGGTGTTTCACCAGCATGCATGTATGTGTACCACATGTGTGCCTAGTACTCACGAAGGCCAGAAGAGGGCATAGGATCTCCTGGAAATGGAGTTGTGGATGTTTGTGAGCCCCTATGTGGGTGCTGGGAAATGAACTCAGGTCTTCTGGAAAAGCAGCCAGTTCCCCTAATGCTGAGCCACCTCTCTGGCCTTCTCATATCTTAACTGAAGCGTGACACTAGCAAACCTCAGTTGCAAATTTGGAAGATAAAAACAGCTCACTGGGGTGAAAGAGGCCGGGTTTGCTTCCCAGCACTCACACTGGGGCTCACAACCATTTGTAACTCCAGCTGAAGAAGATTGGACAGCCTCTTCTGGCCCCAGTGGGTACCAAACACATGGGCATCTACATACACAAATACACACATTCACACATAGAAAACAGATCTCGACTATAACATTAAGACACAAGGGATAAACCAGTGAAGAGATCAGCTAGAACCAGAGGGGAACAGTCACAAGCTGGAATGCATGAAGGTCAAGCTGGGTGTTTAATGTTATCCCTTAGTTGTAACTGCCTGCCATTTTAGAGTAGAGGGCTGGACTTGTAATTACCCTTACTGCTGTGTTTTGGTGAAGGTGACAATGCCAAGTCTATGAGCAGACAGTATTCTTTGAAGGTAACAAAACTGGAACATGAAGCTGAGCGAGCGAGAGTGGAGCTCACTGAAACCCGAAAGCAGCTGCAGGAGCTGGAAAGCAAAGAACTTTCTGATGTTGCTTTGAAGATAAAGTTACAGAAAGAGTTCCGTAAAAAGATGGATGCTGCAAAGCTGAGAGTTCAGGTAACTTACTAAATGCAATCAAGTAAACTTTGTAAAGTCCACCTTCCTTTTGTTTTGTTTTGTGTTTTTGAAACAGGCTCATTAGTGCAGCCATGGCTGTCCTGGAACTCTCTATGTGGACCAGGCTGGCCTCGAACTCACAGAGATCCACCTGCCTCTGCCTCCTGAGTGCTGGGATTAAAGGCGTGCACCACCATGCCTGGCTAAGCCATCCATCCTTTCCTGAATCTTCCTGGGCTGAGGATGAAGCTCGGGTCAAGTCCTTACCCAGTCGGTGTGAGACCCTGGTTTTGATCCCCAGCACCACAAAAAGAAAACAAGTCTCATCTTTGAAGAGTCTTGTATTGAGAGAAATGGGATTCAGTTTTTAGTCATCAAAACTGTATGACATTTCCTTTTGCCTAGTGTGCCCATTACTTTATGTATTTACAGTCTGGGTAGTGTATTTCTTCATTCTGTAAACATTAAATATTGGCATAAAATCATATATAATAAGACATAAAGGTAACAAGTTGTATCCTTTTCTGAAGGACAAAAGATTAACAGTTAAGCAATGCATATAAACATCAGGTACCAGTGTGATACTTTGTAGACAGTCTGCAAATGTGAACTATTTCAGTTTTTAAGATCGTAATTGATTGGTTTTGAAAGGTTATTAACTTTTGCCAGGTGGTGGTGGTGTACGCCTTTAATCCCAGCACTCGGGAGGCAGAGCCATGTGAATCTCTGTGAGTTTGAGGCCAGCCTGGTCTACAGAGCGAGATCCAGGACAGGCACAAAACTGCACAAAGAAACCCTGTCTCGAAAAAAAAAACAAAAAAAAAAACCAAAAAAAAAAGTTAGTAACTTTGAGTACTACAATTCAGACTTCATTTCCAAATGCTTTAGATTTAGCTATACCTTTAGAAAGAGTTAAAACTTCTGTTCTGGGGTTAGGTGTGTTGCTTAGTGAGTATGTATGAGGCTCTGTTCAATTTCTGGTGGGGACACACACACACACACACACATACACACACACACACACACACACACACACACACACACACACACACACACATCCTATTCAGTAAGAATATTTTATACAGAAAGGTTTTTGTGCAAGGGAGCCATTTCCAAGTGCTTTGAAAATTCCAAAATGCCTCTTCCAATTCTTCTTTTTGTGTATTTCATTTGTTTTGTATTTTTGAGGCAGGATCTTATGTAGCCAAGATTACTTTCCTCACTGTTGTCCTACCTCACTCAGCCTCTTGATTGCTTGTATTAAAGGGGCATGCTACCATATCTAGCTTTTTTTTTTTCATTGTATCTGTTTCCGTATTGTAGAAACATATTTATATTGTCCACATTGTAGGTAGAGTTGAGTTATAATTGACCTATTCAGAGCTTTATTATAAATGGAGGTTTTTTTCTGTCCCACCCTGTCCCATGGCTGCTTGTAAATAATCATTCAGGGGCTTAATGCTAATTACAAATCATTTGGCCTATTGCTCAGACTTATTACTAACTAGCTCTTACACTTAAATTAACCGGTAATTCTTATCTATGTTTAGCCATATGGCTTAGTACCTTTTCTCAATATGAAATTCTCATCTTGCTTCCTGTGCATCTGGGTGGCAACTCCTGACTCTGCCCTTCTCCTTCCCTGTATCTCTGCTTGAATATCCCACCTGGCTCTTATCCTGCCTTGCCATAGGCCAAAGCAGTTTTTCTTTTAATTAACCAAAGGGAGCAACACATTCACAGCATACAGAAAGACATCCCACATCATTTCTCCTTTTCTGTCTAATCAAAAAGGAAGATTTTAACTTTAACATAGTAAAATTACATATAACAAAACACTTATCAAGTAAGAATTATAGTCAAAATATTTAGTCTATTTGTATTTGGAAAAATTAAAGAAAATATTCTATTATCTATCCTATCTTTGTGAGGCTAAAGTTTCATATCTAATTTATCTTGTATCATAATTAAGGAAAACTATAATTATAACTGTCTAGTCTTCAACTCCATCAAAGACCCTAGAAAGATATAATATTACCTGAGTAAACAGGAAGTGCATTGTAAGCAGCTTCCAAAATTCTGGAAATGACAGAGACATCTGGCTGCCTGGATGTCCCCCAAAGTTCTTCTGTAACATTGAGGTATCCAACTTCAGCCTACAGGCCTAGAGTATCTGGCAGATTTCTCAGTGAAGCAGGAAATTTGAAAGACTGTCTCACCTATTTTGGCAAAATTCACCAGTCACTTTCTTCTGTGTCCTGCAGAATATCTGGCTGACTCTTTCATGAAGCAGGAAACCTGAAGTTTGTTTTGGCAAGTTCAGCAGTCACTTTCCTGTGGGTCCTGCATGTTCAGTTTATACAGCATATTGTCAAGCAGTCTAGGCAAGAGCAGTTTCTTGCCCAAATCGCTAGCCTTGCCACATTGAAAGCAAACTCCATAAAGAGCTTCTTTGATGCCCATCATTCTTTGGAAGTAATTGGTGATGCCAGGAGCATATGTGTCTCATTGTCGAGAAAAGTCTAAGTTCTTAAAACATTTTAAATGCCATATTCAGTAGGTCTTTGAAGATTATCTAGCCATCTGAAGTATATCTCTGTGTAACCTTGAAAAATACCTAACATGACCATGTTTGCTATTACAGATGACTATTAATCCATATTTCTTAACTATATACTACATTTTAAATGATCTGCATAAACATAATACCCTAAACAAGAGTAGAAATATACATATAGTCTAACAAAATTGACCTTAAATTTGTATCAGTAAACCAAAATGTAAAGTATTTGAGACTAACAGTCGTTTTTTTGGATTAAAGTAGATTCAATAATCTACCTTTTTATCTTTTCTTTGTCACTTTATTACTGTTTAGTTTTAGTTTTTAGGATGTTTAAGGTAGTACTAGAAACTTCAGAAGGAAGGACTCTTTTGGTCTGGCCACCTCTGCGTCTCCAACAGTGATAAATTCTGACATACCAGAGAGGTGGCAACAGACCTTTATCTTGTTGAAATAAGTACAAAAATGACATAGTTATACTAAAAAAAAAATACTAAAGCTCTGAATAGGTGAACATATTTTGTTTTTCCTGTTTTTTGCTGTATATTCATTTTTGCTCATAGTACTGAAAAGGAAAGAAAAAAGACACAGACTGAACCTCAGAAAAAAACATCTGACTGAGGAGGGCTAAAACAAAATGCGCCCCTTTAGAAGATCTTGTGCTTTTGACGTCTGCAGGCACATTGGGTGGGAGTGAGATGATGGTTGGTGTAGGGTTAAGACAAGGGTGTAGTAACCATCTGCTCAGTGTCTTCAACATGCCCTGTACAAACCCGATATAAATATGTTTCAGTTAATCGCCACCCTTGGCGGTAGATGTTTTTACATTACTTTATAAAGAAAGAAACAAAGTTAAGTGACTCATCTCAAGTTGCAGAATGGTGATACTAGTTTTTAGTACTCTAATGTGCGTCTTAGAATATTGAAATATTAGTGTTTTTATTCCAATGAAACAGTTTCCATTTTAAAACTTAATTTTTAAAGTTATGAAAACTTTTTATCTTCATAGAGAGCTATATTCTGCATTAATACTATAATACTGATAAAGGTGTACTTCTGAGCCTCTGTGGAATAAATATAAAATACAGTGACAGCCTTAATTGATTTTTAAATAAGTTCATTAGGCTGCACACTGATATTTAATACTATATGAAAAACACTCAAAATGCTAGCATTGTTAATTTTTCTATTATCATGGTAAGTGGCAAAGCCGTCTTACAATTGCAATATGAAAAACTGCAAAGGGCTTTGGGCTCCAAGCCGGTGGGACCTCTGTGCACAGTGTTAGTTCATGATTTGCATGAAATACAGTGAGTCAGTACAGTTTCCTTCATCAAAAAGTCTTGCATGACCGAGAATGGCAGAAATGGTCTTTTCTAGGGAAGATCCCCCAATTGGCCATCCAATACCAGGTGGTCAACTCTGACATCATATACATACAAGTACCATTATACAGACTGAGCAGTTGTATTTAAATATTTAGAAATATATATATATATATATATATGTATATGTATACACACATATGTAACAGCAATTAAAGAAATGGAGACCATTAATTTGAGAGAGATTGGGGGAGTGCAGAGAAGGTGAGGGAGGGAAGGGAAGGGAGGAAACAATGTAATTACATTTTAATTTCAAAAACTATATATAAGAAAAATTCTTTAAGGAGCTGGTAAGATGGCACACTCCTATACTCCCAGCATTCAGAGAGCTGAGGATTATGAGTTCAAGCCCATCCTGCACTATTCTCTGTCTAAAGTAAACAAGATGTCTTGCATGGAAATAATATTACCTCAGTCTAATAGTATGTTTTGCAGTGTAGGCAACAGTCTGACTAATGCTGGTCCAAAGATTGACTTTGAATAGCACTGCTATAAGTGGCACTATTTCCATGAATATTTAAATTAGAACAAAATATGGTTATGTTAACAATCTATTGCTATAATAAAGATAGTAATTACTTATGACCTACATAATTCATTAATACTTCCTTAATTCTTGTTTGTTTGTTTGTTTATGAGATAGTCTTGCTTTGTAACCTTGGGTAGCCTGGAATTTCCTATGGAGAACAGGCAGGACTTGAACTTGTGGTCATCCTTCTGTTTTTGCCTTCTGAAACTAGGATAGCCACCACTCCCCATCCCCTGAACTTCTCACAGTGCCGTGATACAAGTGACACTTATATGTGTCATTTGTTTGACTGGGATTAACTTGTAACATGCTAGTGTTTACTACTACTATAAACACTTGGAAAATGTGAGCATGTTTTAGTGCTGCTAACAGATAATTATAGACGTAATAGGCTTTCAGGGGAGATGACCAGTTTTATTCAGCTTTATTCAAAGGTTCATACAGTTGAATCAGAAAAATAAGAGTGGACTATTGTATAGTCAGGTACAAAGCAAGAAGTTTTAGGACTCCAGGATCCATAGAAAAGGGAGGGGATCCATTTACATGCATATGTCTCTTTACATCTGATGAGCTTGTCATGAATAATTTATGTCATGGAACAGGACAGGTAGCTATGGAGTCTAGGATAACATAATTTATATATAAACTCAGTTTGTGTTGTTCTAATTATACACACACGTACACACACACATACACACCACACACACATTGTGTGTGTTTGAGATAGTGCCTCACTCTGTAGCCCAGGCTGGCCTGAATTTGTGATCATCCTGCCTCAGCCTTTTCAGTGTTGAGATTAGAGTGTGAGCCTCTGTGCCTGTGTGTGTGTGTGTGTGTGTGTGTGTGTGTGTGTGTGTGTGTGTGTGTGTGTGTGACTGTGTCGTGTTTGTGTGCAAGGGGCTTGCAGACTAGGCAGTAACTAGAATACTTCATGCCATATATATTTTAAATTAGAATTCTTCATAAAAACGGAAAAGAGGTTGTTTCCTCTGATTGTCAATGCAAGTTTCATCGTTCTTTGTATATCTGATGAAAGTACGATGTTTTCTTCAATTACAAAATTAGAAGTGAGAGATCCTATCTCAAAAATTTTTAAAAAGAAGGGTAGAAAAGTAAATGTGTTGGTGAGCCTGTCAAAAATAAATGTAAATAAAAAAATGGCTGCCCTTACCATTGAATATTGTGTTATTTGGAAATTGTGGTGATATATTGTATACCCTAATAAACTTTGCCTGAAGATCAGAGAGACAAAGGAACAAGCCACTGCCACGTCTTACCTCTAGGACTCTTGAGCCTGAACAGCCTTTAGTTCCTGTATCTTCATGCCTTATAAACCTTTCTCTGCCCCAGCCATTCAAAGTGTGTGTGCTTCCCAAGTATTGGGATTAAAGGTGTGTGCCACCACTGCCTGGCTCTGTTTCTCCCCTAGACCGACTGAGTCAATCTCATATAGTCCAGGGTGGCTTTGAACTCACAGAGATCCAGGCAGATCTTGGCCTCCTCTCCTGAGTGCTAGGGTTAAAGGTGTGTGCCACCACTGCCTGGCCTCTATGTTAATCTAGTGGCTTGTTCCGTCCTCTGATCTTCAGGCAAATTTTATTAGGGTACATAATATATCACCACAGGAAATGAATGAGAGAAATACTTCTTTCTCATTCTGGAATATTCCATGTGATTCCAGGTCTTACAAAAGAAGCAGCAGGATAGTAAGAAGTTGGCATCACTGTCCATCCAGAACGAGAAGCGTGCCAGCGAGCTGGAGCAGAACGTGGATCACCTGAAGTACCAGAAAATGCAACTGCAGAGAAGGCTTCTTGAAGAGAGCGAGAAAAAGAAGCACCTGGATGCAGAGATTAAGAGAGACCAACAAAAAATCAAAGTAATACTGTCCATACTTCCTGCTTAGCATTGTATGAAATGGTGAACACTCAGGCTAGAGCAGCCCGTGCCTCATTCAGCTGCTCTGTGCAGTGTCTCTCGCCTTGCCTGTATCTCAGCACTGTCCTTATTCCTGCAAAGCTTTGCTCAGCCACATAGTAAAACCTGTTTACTCAACTCTGAGTACTTTCTTGAAGGTTCTGACATCACAATAAGTCACAATGATAAAAGCTCAGATCTTTAATTAAGGATGTCACATTTTTAAGCTTATAAAGCTCACTTTCTGCACAGTATCATTTGTAAAGGATTGCTCATTTTCAGAATGCTTTGACACACATTGTTCCTGCTGCTGTGTGGGAGAAGGTCCAGGTGGAGTGGTGGCATCCCCTTTCAAGTGCGAATGGCCAGTCTGTGCACCCAGTGGGGATATGGAGTGGAGAGCTGGAAAGGAACATGGGTCAGCTTGGGACCTGGAGCCAGGCTGGCATGTGTTCAACCCCAGCTTTCTCTAGTCCTGCATGAGATGTGTGGAGAAAAGCATTAGCCCTCTGGATTTGTTTAGTCTTCTCTAAAGTTGCCCTCATCACACTTAGCTCCCAGGACTCTTTGGGAAAGAAGTGGACAGTCCTAAAAGTACTTCCTAGCTGTGTGTGCCAGGCTTTGTTCTGTTGAAACAGCAAACAGAATCCAAGGTTGCAGCACAATTAGAAACTCCCTAGGGGCTGGGCGGTGGTGGCCACGCCTTTAATCCCAGCACTCGGGAGGCAGAGCCAGACGGATCTCTGTGAGTTCGAGGCCAGCCTGGGCTACAGAGTGAGTTCCAGGAGTGGCGCAAAGCTACACAGAGAAACCCTGTCTCGAAAAACCAAAAAAAAAAAAAAAAAAAAAAAAAAAAGAAACTCCCTAGGATTATTTTATTTTAAATTAAGACTTCTTTCTAGAGTGGTTTTAGAGCCTCAGGAAACAAAAGATAATTGCTGCAACACATAGCTTCCTCCATTGTAAGCACCCCCAGATTAGATATATTTTAACATTGGTTGTAATCTGCTTTCAGACTATTTAAAATCCAACACAGAACCTAATTATGGAACTTAAGTATTTGCCCATTCTTAAATTTTTTTGTTATTGTAAAAATTTTTATTGGAATATACTTTCTTTACAATGGGTTTTGATAGATCATTAAATTTTATTTTTATTATAATTTTTGAAATTTCATTTTTGCACTTATTTTTCTGTATGTGTGTGTATGTGTGGGTGTGCATGTGCCACAGAGTGCATGTGTGGAGGTCATGGAACAAGGTGCAGGAGTCTGTTCTTTCCTTCCATTTCTCCTGTGTGTTCTGTGAATCAAACTCCTGACATTAGGCTTGGTGACAAGCACCTACCGAGCCAGCTTGTTAGCCCTATCAATTTTCATAAAGTATGACAAAATATATATAATATAAAACTTACCATCTAACCCTTATAAATGTTTAATTCTGTGGCATTAATTATATTCACAGTGAGATGAAGCCATCATAGTTTCTAAAACATTTCCAAGACTTCAAAGAGAAACTCCATAACTATTAATAATAATTCTCTTTCCCCACTTTCTTTCAGCTTCTGATAAGCTCTAATATTTATTTTTTCTCTGTGAATTTCATTTTCTCTGTATATCTTGTAAGTGGGATAATTCATCCGTTGGCATCTGGCATATTTACATAGCATGTTTTCAGAGTTCATTGGTGTTTTTAGGATTTGTCAGATCCTCACTCTCCTCACTGGGACATTGAATGCAGTAGCATCTGTGTGTAGTGCCAGCTCCTGAAGCGGAGACAGGGTGGTTTCTTGACAGTTTGAAGCCAGCCTGGGCAACATAGCAAGACTCCATCTCCACCTCCCCCCAACAGGGTTTTTCTATGTAGCTCTGGCTGTCCTGGAACTCACTCTGTAGACCAGGCTTGGAACTCACAGAGATCCACCTGCCTCTACCTCCTGAGGGCTGGGATTAAAGATGTGTGCCACCATGTCTGGCCTATTTAATCATTTTAAAATTTTTATCCATCAGTAGATGCTTAGGGTGTACATGCTACTAAGAACATTGGCATGGTATTTGCTGCCTTTTTAATTTCCAAGTGTTTAAGTTCTTTTAGCTTTTTGAGGAGCTGCCAGTAGTTGGTTTTCTGTAGCATCATTTTGCATTCCTACCAGTAATACAGAATAGACTTATCATGATGTTTTCTTTTTTTTTTTTTAATTTATTATCTTATACATTACATCCCAAGTGTAGTTTCTCTACTTTCAACCCCCACCTCCGGCTCCCCCACCTCCCCCGGATCCATTTTCCATTTCCCTTCAGAAAGAGCAGGCCTCCCAGGGATAGCAAACAAACAGCATAACAAGTTATGATAAGATTAGGCACACCCCCTCATGTTTAGGCTGTATGAGGAAAATGAGGGTCCCAAAAGTGGGCAAAAGAGTCAGAGACAGCCCCCAGTTCCGCTGTTGGGAGTCCCACAAGAACACCAAGCTGCACAATCATAACATATATGCAGAGAACCTAGCTCAGACCAATGCAGGCTCCGTGATTGTCTCTCCAGTCTCTGTGAGCCCCTATGAGCCTTGCTTAGTTGATTCTGTGGACCATGTTCTTGTGTCCTTGACTCCTCTGGCTCCTACAATCCTTCCTCTCCCTCTTTCACAGGGTTCCCCTGGCTCTGCCTAATGTTTGGCTGTGGATCCCTGCATCTGCTCCCATCAGTTGGTGGAGGAAGCCTCTCTGATGATGATCGGGCTAGGCTCCAGTCTATGAGTTTAACAGAATAGCACTAGGAATCAGTTCATTGACTTTTTTTTTTTGTTTGTTTGTTTTGTCAGTGTTTAGTTCTATCCTAGGTCTCTGGGATATCCAGCCTCTGGTTCCTGGCCCTCCAGGAAGTGTCAGACATGGGCTCCCTCTTGTGGTGTGGGCCTCAAGTTGGACCAGTCATTGGTTGGCCACTCCCACAAGTTTTGTACCACCATTACCCCAGCATATCTTGCAGGCAGGGCAAGTTGTAGGTTGAAGGTTTTGTGGGTAGGTTGATGTCCCAGTCTCGCCACTGGAAACCTTTTCCTGGTTACAGAAGACGGCCAGTTTAGGCTCCATATCCCCCCTTAGTAGGAGTCTTCAATAGGGTCATCCTTGTAGATTCCAGGGAGTTTCCACTTCCAGGTTTCCAAATTGGCCCCCCAAGTGCCTCCTTAGTTCTAGTCTTCTCTCCCAGTACTCTCTTCCTCCATCCCCCACCCAATCCCTCCAGTTCCCATCTCCATCCAACCCAGTCTACCCTCGATATCTCTTCTATTTCCCCTTCCCAGGGATAACAATGCATCCCCCCTTGAGCCCTCCTTGTTACTTAGACTCTGGATCTGTGGATTATATAGCATGATTATCCTTTACTTAACAGCTAATATCCATTTATAAGTGAGTACATACCATGTTTGTCTTTCTGGGTCTGGGTTATCTCACTCAGGATGATTTTTTCTCCCTCTCTTCCACCCATTTGTCTGCAAATTTCATGTGGTCATTTTTTTTAGCAGCTGAGCAATACTCCATTGTGTAAACGCACCAGATTTTATTTATCTCTTCTTCAGTTGAGAGACGTCTAGGTGGTTTCCAGTTTCTGAGTATTATGAATAAAACTGCTATGAACATACTTGAGTAAGTTTCCTTGTTGTAGGCTGGAGTATCCTTTGGGTATATGCCCAAGAGTGGTATAACTGGGTCTTGGAATAGATAGATTCCCAGGATTCTCAGGAATGGCCATACTGATTTCCATAGTGGCTGTACAAGTTGGCACTCCCACCAGCAATGGAGGAGTGCTCCCTTTGCTCCACATCCTCGCCAGCGTGAGCTGTCACTTGTGTTTTTGATCTTAGCCATTCTGACAGGTGTAAGATGGAATCTCAGAGTCGTTTTGATTTGCATTGCCCTGGTGGCTAAGGAGTGTTGCTAGAGTTTTCCTGCTTGGCCCACAGTCAGGACAAATCTCTCTCACCCGCCAGTCCCACAACCGCTCAGACCTGACCAAGTAAACACAGAGACTTATTTTGGTTACAAACTGTATGGCCGTGGCAGGCTTCTTGCTAACTGTTCTTACAGCTTAAATTAATCCATTTCTATTCATCTATACCTTGCCACGTGGCTTGTGGCTTACCGGTACTTTACATCTTCCTTATCCTGATGGCGGCTGGCAGTGTCTCTCCTCCCAGCTTCCTGTTCTCTCAATTTTCCTCTCTGTTAGTCCCGCCTATACTTCCTGCCTGGCCACTGCCAATCAGTGATTTATTCATTGACCAATCAGCAACACATTTGACATACAGACCATCCCACAGCAAAGGAGATTGAACATTTAAGTGTTTCTCAGCCATTTGAGATTCCTCTGTTGAGAATTCTTTGTTTAAATCTGTACTCCATTTTAAATTGGATTATTTGGTTTGTTGATGTCTAGTTTCTTGAGTTCTTTATGTATAGTGGATATTGGCCCTCTGTCAGATGTGGGGTTGGTGACTATGACATTTTCATACATTAACCTACTGTATTTGGATGTCTCCGCTCCCCCTGCTACCCACTTTTACCCCATCTCACTCCTATTATTTCTCTTTCCCTTCCAATCTCACTTCACTCTGCTTCTGTTTTCGTGTCCTTTTTTTTTTTTTTTTGTTACCCAGTGACTCATTTGGGTTGTCTACAGGAGCATGTACTCATTACCAGTGGCTTCACCACTGCAGAAAGGTTTCTCCCTCCCCTGTCAACTGTTAGCTGCTTATAAATCCTTGTTGGGTGTAGGAGTCCATGAGTCCCTCCCCTTTCCATGGCAGGGTGTTGAAAGGTCCAATAATATGGGGTATAATGCTATTCTTTTTTTTTTTTTTGAGACAAGGTCTCACATAGTTCAGCCTGGCCTCCAACTCACTATGTAACGAAAGATGGCCTTGATGAACTTCCAGTCATATAGGCTCCACTCCCTGAGTGCTGGG